GCTTTGGCGGCCTGGGCCGACCTCAGCGAGCTCCTCGCCGACTCGGCTTGCCCGCCACCCGTGGCGCCCCCGCCCCTCCTTCGTGCCGGCCCACGCCGCTTGTGTCCTAGTGCCCGGGACTCCTCCTTAAGCACATGTTTCACCGCTTGGGCAGACGCAAAAAAGTGCGTGAGAAAAAAACATCGCCAAGAGCCCCGAGGCGTGCGGCTTAGTTGATCGCTTGGTGCGCCTCCGGGCACTCCGCGCGCCTCCAGCCGTCCGCCGCGCAGCCGAGGCCGGTTGGCGCCGCAGGTGGTGGGCACGCCTTGCAGCGCGCCCTCGCTTCCACTCTGCTCGGAGGACGTTGGCTTTCCCCCGCGCGGCCGGCTGCGCAAGGAGAGCCCGACCTCGCCGATGTCCTTGCTTTGGCTGGCCCGTCCGGGCCCAGCCTTCTGCCTTTGCGCGGCTAGTCGCCACGTCGGCGCGCGCGCGCTTCGTTCGCCTTTCTCGGCGGCCGTTTCGGGTGGGGGGGGTTGAGGGTTCCCTTGGTCTCACTGCCGCTGGACGGAAAAAGGCGTGCGTTAAAAAAAAAAACTCTAGCCTGGCTGCGCGGGTCAAGGCGCAGCAGCTCGCCCCACGTGAAGGACGCAAGCAGGGAGAACATGCTCGCCCGGGAGCTGTGGTCGAAGGCGCCCACCCCATCGACGGACAGCGCTGTGGCTTCGTGGTCAGCCTTAGTGGCCGCCCGCGAAATGCGTGCCAGGCATTCTGTGCTGGCGCGGGTGGAAGGGGCGTATTGAAATGGGGATCTTACAGTCAAAACACACACGGGCATACACACACACAGAAGAACACGCACAAACACACATTAAAGGCCATTGCACATGGCGGCCTCACTGCGCGATGTTGGACACCTTGGGGGAGGTTGTAGGACTCGGGTACGCTCCGGGGGTGCGGGTGTCCGCTGGAGCGTGCGGCCGCACGCGTTTGCAAAGAAGCTGGGGCAAAAGTCACCTCCAACACACCCTTGCGGACTTAACTCAAGTTGATCGGACGATAGGCGTCTGGAGGTCGTGGCCAATGGCCTCCCACTGTGGGGGGGGCAACTTGCAGCAACCTGCAGCAACTTGCAGTAGCCCGTTCGGCGCGGGGGTCGCGTGGCTGGTGTTGCCCTCGCCCTGGCACACCGTCGCAAAGAGCGGGCCTACCCAGAGTTCGTGCGGCACGCAGATGCCGGTCGGCCGTGCTTGCAGTGGAGGTTGGCGGGCGAGTGATGAAGCCGCCTCCTTCATCCGGTCCTTGGCCCCTCGCCCGGGCACTGAAGCCCCAGCTCGGTTTCGCTTTTCTGACCAGGTGGTCGGCTCAGCTGACCCAAGCCAGGCTGCCGGGCCCGAGCTGCAATGTTGGGGGTGGCACAAAGTTTGCAATGACATTTGCCGTGGTCTCCCTGCTTTGAAGTTCGTGCACTTGTGTTTGCGGGGGACACCACCATGGATGACATGACAACGGCAACAAGCATGGCTACCACACCCACTGTGGTTCCGTTTCGTTCAGCTGCATGGCCACGCCAGCCTCCGTGGTGGCGGCTGTGACGGTTGGACATCTCCTCAATGCTTGAAGGCTTGCACGATCCGTTTTCCTCCCAGGTCCCGCCAGCTTGACGTGATGCAAAGACATGCGCCGCTGGACTTTTGCTTCCGCCTTGACCAGACCGGCATCCTTCTTGTGGGTGGCTGCCCCACAACAGAGCAGTGCACCCTTTTGAAGTCTTTTGAACCGCGGAATGGTCGCTTAGTTTTTAGGTGTTTGAGGTTTCGAAGCCGAAAGAGGCTTGGCCCACTTGACTTATGACGGATGCGAGCTGCTCCTGTCAGCAGCGGATTCATGTTGACTGCCTGTCCCATGAGTCCCTCTTATTGTACCGTTTATTGGTGGTTTGTTAGTCTTTGCGGGGGAAAAGCTTGCTGGCAGCTGCTGTCTGACCGGTGTCCGTCCAAATTCGTGCAACTTTACACGCTGCCTGGTTAATCGCATTTTTCAATGGCATCGACGGTTCCAAGCAAAATATTTTTTGCAACTCCAGATGGACGTCGCGTTGGTGATGGAGTTTCGAGGCGAAGCCATTGGAGCTCAGAAAGGCTATTTTTTCCATTTCGGTCAAGTCGAGTATTTTGTTTGTTTTTAGACGTGAGGTTGTTTTATTGGATCATTTGCTTCATTTGCTCGTGATTTGGTCGTTTAAAACCACTTTTTTAAACTTGTTTGGCCGTATGGCCGTGTGACAGTTTTCCAGACAAAACTTTTTGACAAACTGCAGGCACATTTTTTTCCGTCGCTGTGATGGAGGTGTCATTATGAGATTCGCGATGCTTTGTGTGCCCGTGTGCGTCATGCCTTTACGTTTGTCGCTATGTATGTTGCAAGGTCTGTGTGGGGTCTTGTTTGGACGATGTGCGAGGCGCGCCGTTGTTCGTTGCTGGAAGAAGAAGGTGAGTTTGCGAATCCAAAAGCGGGCCCACGTTTTTGTTTGTTCTAGGTATGGCGCGGCCGTTTTGCTGCGTGGTGCTGGGGTCAGTCGGTCGGTCGGTCGCCCGGTCGGCCAGTCGGTCGGTCAGTCGGCCCAACCCTAAACCAGCCTTTAAACAAAAAAACAATCCTAAACCAGCCCCACACCAACCGTAAACCCGCCCTAAACCAAACCTCAAACCAACCCCAAGCCAACCCTAAACCAATCCTAAACCAGCCCCAAGCCAACCCTAAACCAACCCTAAACCAACCCTAAGCCAACCCTAAACCAACCCTAAGCTTTGACACTTTCACACTCCCACGCTTCCATACTTCCATGTTTGCACATGTCCTACACACGCTTCCATCTGTCCATACCTCCATACGTCCACACTTCCACAGTTCCACAATTCGACACTGACACGCATCCACACTTGCCACAGCCGCATTTCCACACTACTAACAGTCCAGTTTGGTATGCTTCCACTTGCGCGGTGGAAGAAGTTGCAGTGTGGAAGCGTGGAAGCAAATGCAAGTGTGGAAGTGTGGAAGAGTGGAAGTAAATGTAAGTGTGGAAGTGTGGAAGTGTGGAAGTAAATGCAACGGTGAAAGTGTGCCACTGTGAGTGTGGAAGGCTGGAATTGTGGAAGAATGGATGTGTGGAAGTGTGGAAGTAAATACTGCGGTGCAAGTCTGGAAGTGTGGAAGTGTGGAAATATGGAAGTATGGTAGTGTGGAAATCTGGAGTTGTGGCAGCTTGGAAGTGTGTAAGTGTGGAAGTGTGGAAGTGTGGAGGTGTGGAAGTGTGGAAGTAAATGAAAGGACCAGGAAAAGTCACCGCTTTTGCGAAGACAAAACCGGGACAAGGCACCGCTTGGGCATAGCACCCGCCAAAAGCCGGTCCACCAATCCTTTTGGCTGAAGCGTGACAAGTTATGTGTCCGCAGTATGTCGGTGTGGAACTATCAGCCTAGCAATCCCACGGCCCAAACAAAAAATCCCCCAGGCTTATGTTTCATTACTCGACGAACGTATTCTTAGCGCGCGAGCCATGGGCGGCTGCATCAGCTCTTCCGCTGTGTGTGGGATGCTTAGCGTGGCTGTTTTTCAGGGAGCTGTGGCCATGGGCCAAGGCAAGAAGGCGCTTGCGCGAAAGAAAGGCGCGCATCAGACTGGATGACTGGCTGCCTGGCTGCCGGAGCAAGTCATAGGGCACACCCTGACAGGTGAACCAGCTGGCAACCAGCCGTTCACGAAGAAGGCCATGAACGCGAACGTGACACGCATGCATGCCGTGGTGTAATTGGTTTTAAGCTCGTCCTCGGTCGGCAGATGCTCAGGGTTGCAATTTTCAATCACAGATGTCATGTTAGGAGTTTTTTGTGCGAAACGGAGAGCTACCCAAGGCGGCGACTTGGAAGCTCCAAATAGAGGATACGTTTCTTGGCTTCATTCATGGACGCGGTTGCTTTTTGGTTCCCTTAAGAACACTTCCAATCTGTGACTCTGAAGGTTGAGCAAGGCTGCTTGGTTGTTGTAGGGTCGTGAAAGGCTAGAACCTCATGGCATGCCTACCTTGTCGATCGAGGCGCACCACCGCCTCTTTGAGCCACGCCGTCTCTCTGAGTCGCTTGGCCCGGAAAGCGGAAATGCCTTTGCGAAGCGACTCTGGTTTAGAGCCTCTGACTTGAGATGACATTTGTTTCTCGGCCCTTTGGGTGTCACGGCTTCTCATTCGGCCATGTCACCCAATCCCTCGATTGTAACCCGCCTGCTGCTGGAATTGCCCAGGCGGCAATGGGATGCTGCTGACCGACGTGGCCAGGACTCCTAGCAACTGGCGAGCCTTCACGTTTCCTTTCCCACGACATGGGATCCAAAAAAACGCCGGGACAGCCGACGGGCGGCCATCGAAGACTGTTGTGAAGGGCTACTGGCTTGCCCGTGTTTTTCTTTTTGGCAAGTGGTCCCAAATCAGGTTGCATGTACCGGGTAGGGACGGCCGCGGCCGTGTGAAAAAGCTGGTGAACAGCACAAAATGAAAAAGTCGCATGCCTCGCCAAGGAGCCCTTGCCAACAGCAACCTTCGGCGAAGGACCCAAGAAACAAGAACAATAATCTCAGTGACTCCAACGAGAGGAACCAAAACGTAACCCAGCCAATCCAGTTTTCAAGTTGCGTCCAGTGGATCCAAACAAGAAAGGGTGCCAAGTCCAGACTTTGTGCTGCCTGGACACATGCAACCAGAATCAATTGCCAAACTTGCCACCTTCACACCAACGTGGGATAGTGGCTCGCCTCATTCTTGCCGCACTGGTGTTGGAATGGGATTTGCAAGGTGCCTCAAGTCGACGCGGAATCCCCGGAGTTGTGTCTTGGCTGCAGCTCTTATATGACTTGCACTTGTTGGCATGTCGGTGGTGTGGTGGCACAGCATGAGAATGCATTATCGCTAACCAGATTTGAGCCAGCAAAGTTTGGTTCAAGGCGCTACAAAGCGCTTGGTGTAGCCAGCCATGGCTTGGTGCCGCGCGAGGCGGCTGATGCCCACATTTTTCCGGAGACGCCCCTTGGGCGCCCGCCCTTCGGGCACATCCTTGGCGACCGTGCCTTCGTCCAGCAGGTATGACCTGAGACCGCTGGCGGTCATGGCAACCGTAGCGGCAACCGTGGAGCAGCATAGGCGCAGCCACCTGTGCGCGAGCACGCAGCAGGTGGGTCTTGGTAAGGCTGCAGAGTTTGAAGAGGGGACTATGACAGAGGTCAAGCTGGAAGGCGGCAGCGCCGTGCTGGTGCACCGCCACCAAGGAGAGTTCTTTGTGACCTCCCCGTCCTGTGCCCACTATGGGGCTCCACTGAAGAAGGGCGTCTCCTCCGCCGGGGGCCGTGGTGGCGCACCCACAGTGACCTGCCCGCTGCACGATGCTACCTTCGACCTGCGCACGGGCCAAGTGGTGCGGGGGCCGGCGGTGGATGGTATCGCCGTGTACCGGTCCCAGGTGAAGGATGGCCAGCTGGTGGCGGAAGTGCCCTCGGAGATTGCCAGCGGTGGCAAGCACAAGAAGGCAAGTTGGCCGTAGGCCTTAGCCATGCCTCATGTGTTGTCACCCCTGTTCGCATACTGGGCCGAAAATCTCAAAGCTGAGCTACCACCTGTGGGCCCAACAATCAGACATATGCGTTGATGAATAGGCTGTGACAGGGTTCTTGTTTGCTTGGCAAGAGGTGCAAGTCAGATTCGGCTCGTCATTTTGCATGTCTGGACAAACAAGGAAAAAGAAGGGAGGGTCATCATCCTAAACTGGTAGTTGATAGCCGCTCGAAGGCTTTCTGGAAACGCATCAATCTTTTCCATTTTCACGGATTGCAGTCGGCCTCTTTTGGCCCCTTGGGTGAAACAGATGCGACAGGTGCTGAAGGCCATGGCCAAGCGGAAGGGCTCCGACGGCCGCGTCTTCGCCTTGCTGGGCGGCGGCCCTGCGTCCCTGGCGGCCGCCGAGACGCTGCGTCAGGAAGGCGGCCGGGATGGGGCGAGGCGTAGGGCACCTTTTTCGAGGTAGGTTCATTTGCTGTACGTCCTTTTGATTTTTGGTTGGATCTTGCATGATTCTCATTCCATCCCTGCCCACGACTGCCATTTAGCGCTTTCCTTCCAAGTCATCTCATGTGTTTCTGCTTTAGCCAATGGCCATGGGACGGCTCGCGTTTGGCGTTCGTGTGTCGCTGTGTGCTTCGTCACTGCAGGGTTTACGGGACGGATTGTGATGCTCACCCGGGAGCCGCATCTGCCTTACGACCGCGTGCAGCTGTCCAAGGCATTCGGGAGCTTTCTGGGCAGTTGGTGAAAAGGTCAAGGGGAAGACTCATTTGTCCTCAAGGCTTTTGGAGTGTGGCTTGGGGGGGCCCAGGATCTGGCTAGGAGATGTGAAGCTTCCAACAGTGCGAGTCTGCAAGCATGACGTTTTCTGGAGCGGGGGGGGGGGGGGCGGGCTGTCTCCATTGGGTCATTGGAACTTGCCTCCCTACAGTTTCTTTCTGCTTGGTTTGGCTGCGGGCATGATGATGATGAGTTGATAGATGAGGTTGTTAGAATTGAAATGGCTTGCATGCGCAGCATGAGGTTGTCATTGAACCTTCATGCTGAACGATGCACAAGATGCTTGGAAAGGTGTCGCCAAGTTTGGGGAGAGGTTTGATTACACTTGCACAGTTTGGGAACATAGCTGCACAGAGCGGAATGCAGAATGTAGCGAGTGCAGCGTTGAGAGGCCTTAGACAAGACGGTTGAGAAGCTGCTCCTTCGGCCTGAGTCGTTCTACCAAGACTACGACATTGAGGTGGTGAGAGGCGCAAATGTCACAAAGCTGGATGCCAAAGAGCAGAACATTTTCTACACCGGAGCAGACGACAAGCAAGAGAAGTTGTGCCTGAGTTACTCTGTTAGTCTTTATTTGGAGGGTCACTTTGTTCAGTTCTTTTTTGTCCAGAAATCGTAAGAAACAAGCCCGAATTCAACCTCCCAGTCAAAATTTCAGCTGGTTGGCTCCAGCCCAAGGCACTATGACAAAGTCCTTGTGGCCACCGGCGGCAGCCCGCGCAAGCTGTTCGTCCCTGGCAGCGACTTGCAGAACATCTTCACATTGAGGCAGGGCGAAACGAGGGTGCATTCAACAGGGTCCCTTAAAAGATTCGTTTGGGCCAATTTAAAATCCTTCTCAGCAGACTTAGACGACCCCCTTGTATCTCAGGAGAAAGAGGCGCAATGGGATGAACTGGGTTGCAGAAATAGGTGCGAGCACACACCAAAGCGCGTTGCAGAAATTGAGCAGAGCGGTGCCGCCCGTTTCGAGGACGCCTGAGGATGCCGCTCAGATCGCAAAGCTGGCCAAGAGCGGGCAGAAGATGATTGTGGTGGGCGGGTCCTTCATTGGTATGGAGGCGCCTGCGGAAACTAAAGAAAATCCCACCTGGCGTGGAAGTTCGAGGGTTGAGTCGAACCATCCACTAGTCTGCGGAGGTCATTTGGGAGGGTCAAGCCCCATGTGAGTCACCATCAAACCGGGTAGGTTAAGGGCAGTCCCCCATGTTTGGTGGTCAGACCCCCCCCAACTTCTCCGTGCCCCGCGCGCGCGGGCGAGCGAGTTAACGGGTGAGCGGTCAGGTGGCCTCCTCTCTGGCGAAGAAGGGCTGCGACGTGGCGGTCATCGCCATGGAGCCTCGAAAAACGTCGCGCGAGAAATCCGTTTAGTGGGTGTGTCGGCGAAGGTTTGGGGGGGTGGTCCTTGGAAGTTCCGTCGTTTTTTGTTTTTTGTGGTGCTCGATTTTTTATTCCGCCAGGCAAGGGGTTGTCGACAATTCTCGGTTGGAGTTTCGGCCAGTGCTGTTGGGGATGCTTCCGTGTTGCCTTGAGCGCTGGAGTTGTGTGTCATTCATTGACCTTTTGATTAATCGGCATGACCCTTGTGATATGAAGTGGAGGTTTTGAATTTGCCAGAGGTGAAGGCCTAGTGAGCGTGAAGCTCACGATTGCCCATAGCAGCACACAGCACTGACAATGGCACACCTCAAGTCATAGGTACTGCTCCTAGTGTCCCAGGATCAGCTTCCAAAGGTGAAAAGAAAGTCAAGCAGCAACATCAACGCATATGCAAGCAACACATTATGATCTCCCCCTTTGAGAGGTAGATTGGAGTTGATCCCTGATTCCAGGTTCGGCCCTGGAGAACACTTCCACTTCCTTCAATAGCAGAAACGCCTGTTGTTTCGTATCGTGCCCGGCAGGGTGTAAATTTAGCACGCGAAGCCGCAGCACCAATCTATTTAGAACACCTTGTGCTTTTGCGAAGTTTACTTGTTTTGCGAAGTCTACTTGTTCTTCTCCACCTTGGCTGTTTCAGCACCAGTTCCAATACGGGCATTTTCAGGTAGGGATCCTGTGGACATAATACATGAGATCATAAAAGCTGGTAAGGCAGCAATGCCGCCTGCATAAGTGGTTTCTTTGCACCACAGCTCCAAATTTCTGAAACTGTTTTTTGACGGCGCGTCCAAACCGACCCGCTTTGACATCAAGCTGGCAACGGGATCGGCCGAGGAGACGGTGCCCTTTGAGCGGGTGTTGGGGAAGAAGGTGGGCGCTTCCTTCGCGAGGAAGCTGCAGAAAGAAGGGGTCGAATGGCCACTCTGCGGGAAAGTCAATGCCGGGGGGGCGGGGGGTGTGGGCGGGGGGCCTTTAATTCTTATTGGACTCCAGCGTACGATTGTCGTGGTAGAAGCCTTGCTCCCATGCATTTGTTTTGTTGGTGGGGGAGGGGGATGCGTCTTTTCCCACTAGCCAGCAAACAGCCGAATCCTTGCTGAGGGGGCAATAGCCACGCAGCCCAAATGACGTCATGGTTGCGTGTCCAGGTCGAAGTCACACTTGCGCGCCGGTCCAAGATCACGGATTCCTTTGCCGCTCAAGGGAAGAATGTTCGATCTAAGACCCAACTCTTTTTGCAGGGTGTGAGTTGGATATTCGGCCAGTATGTAGCCACTATATAGCGGATATACATGATAGACACCCTGTTTTGACCTGGGGGAAGTGTTTCTTTCCTTTTTTTTTTTCCGGGGGGGGGGGGAGGACCCTGGCGAAAAACCTTTTTTTTCCCGGGCGCAGCCAAAAAGGGCAGACCAGGAGCAGAAACCGCCGGTCGGCGGTGCGGAAGGCCGGGCTCCTCTTCTTTCGCTGGCGCTATCCGAGGTTCGGCACCTCTCAGGTGCGGCTCTTCCGGGGCAACGAAGCGGTGAACGGGGTGGAGCTGGAGGACGGCGAGGCGGCGCGAAAGATCGGGGAGGCGTTCTTTTGATGGGTTGCTTTGGGTGAAAAATGAGAGGATTTCTACAGGTTTCGGTTTTGTTCGACTCATAGGCCAGGTCTTTTCCCGAGAGGACATCTGGGTTTTTTGGACTCTAGACACTCAACCCTGGCCCCATTCAAAAGGGAAAAGCAGAAGCAGGTGAGCCACAGTCAGAGCCTGGGCAATTGCTGACATGGGTTTGGGTAGACCAGGTTGATTTTGTCTCGGTTGTTCAAGTGCCTGGCCCAACCTTGATCCCTTCAGGATGAAGATCTAGTTGGGGAGTGGGGTCGGGGATCATGTGTTCCATTCTATCAATTGCGGGTGTGCCTCCAAATGGGAGAAGCTGGTTTCCTTTCGGTGTCCATCTATCTTCTTTTTAGTATTGGCTGGCTTGTTTGGAGGATTGGGGCATTATTTTGCGCCTATCCTTCAACGATCTTCAGAAGTGGCAGCTTCTGTTATGACATTATCAGCTTCAAGTACAGGAGCTTTGCATTGGGATTCGAAGCATTAACTTCTAGTATATCTGCATGCCTCACATCTCTTAGCTTTTGGACAACAATTCTAAGTCTGAGCTCTTATCTTCATGTATGTATTAAAGGCTATCCATCATTTCCATTTTCTTTCTCGATTACAGCCCTCATGCTTTTTAAACATCACTTTTCTTTATCCAATATTGGAAGGAGATGTATGTTGTTTTTCAAGTCCAATAGTTTAGGATCATTTTCATCATAGTTCCTGTGGTTTTACAGGTACTCACCTTTTGCTAAGCGATCACGGATCTTTGCCATGTCATCTGCTTCTCGAGTCTGTTTGGGAGAATCTTATTTGAACAACCCCCTTTCACATGTTGGGCAGCCGTGCAGAAATCCTCAAATCCAATCACCCTGTAGCTGAAGTCAATGATGGGCTGATTGGCCGCAGTTTGGCAGCTCTAAACAGGATACCTTTCTGACAGACACCGTCAACGGCGCAATTCCATTAACATCCCAAAGTGCAGCCTAAAAATGCAATCCATCAACTGTCCTCGGCTTTGATGTTGATTTAAGGGGGCTGGCAAACTCATCAGCCGTACATGGGGAGAAGTTTTTCCCTTTTGGCTCTGGGTTGGGGCAAGCATTGTGTGTGTGTGTGAGTGCGCATGGGCGCATTTGCAATACAGGACTTTTGTTTCCTCGATGTTGGCGAATTCAATGTCAGCCTGTTGGCACGGGCCAATCTCCGCTCTGCCCAAACATGGGACGGCTTTTGATTTGTTGAGGGGTTTAGTGACAAACCAGGCAACTCGTATAAGCCACGGTGAACCAAATCCAGGCGAGGGTGTCGGGATCCGATGGTTGCTGAGGTCTTGCCCGCAGATTGCGTCGTGGTTGGGGCAGGCGTCCTGCCGAACACCCGCTTCGTGGAGGGCTTGTCCTTGGAGACTTTGCATTCAAGTGTTTGAGGGTTTGGAAGGGTGGGCTGGTGTTTTTTGAGGGTGCCCGTTTCCGGTAGAGGAAAGCCATCATGTTAGGGGCATCCCAAAGCCGAGGCGCCTCGAGCACCGGGAGTCTGGGAGGGGGGGGGGGTGGTTGGAGGCAACATGTCAACCTTCATTTTGACATTGCAGCATAGGTCCAACAAGGTCCATACCGCTGCTTGGGATTCCCCAGTGGGAGGGTGAGGCTGCTGGAGCAGGTGCCCCAGCTTGCTTCTTCGAAGCCGTGGCAAGGGCAAGGGTGTTCTGATGTATTTTGGCAGTTTATTCTGATTAATATTGATTTGTCACAGACCTTGTTCTGTTGCTTGGTGCCTCGGCCTTCCGGCTTCAGGCTGTTTCTCGGGCGACGCGCGCCCAGGACAAGAATGGGGCCATCATCGTCAACCCATTGCTGCAGGCAGGGGTGAAAGAAGGACATTTCCAGGAGGGAACCCTTGCTTGCTTTCCCGGAACCAAGGGACTACCTATGTAGTGTGAGGGTGAGAGGATCTGCTGTGATCAGAAGTCGCCCACCTGCTTAGATTCATTCCCCGTCCCCTGGCGGTTGCCTCTCCTCTGGCTGCCGGCTGCTTTGTTTTTTTAAACGGGTCAAGGGTACACCAGCCCCAAATCGGCAGGCCGAGAACTGTGAGAACCTCTTCGCGGCAGGGGACGTGTGCGCGTACCCGGCGGTGAGGACGGGGCAGCGGGTAAGGATCGAGCACTGGGACGTGGCCATGCAGCAGGGCCGAACGGCGGCCGCCAACATGCTCGGGCACCTCGGCTGAGTCCACCCGCCCGTGTCCAAGGGGTGAAACGGGAGCCCAGCAGAAGGGTCTCCAGACTGGTCTGGGAGAATCAACAGGGCAGACTTTGTGCAAACTTGGCCGTACCGTTTTCTTCCCCTGAAAGGGAACATCAACAGGAGAGTGTTCAAATTTTAGTGGAATCCTAAAAAAGACTTCAGGGCTGGCGAAGCTTTAAACTATGATATTGAACGCCACCTGCTTTTGGCCTCCCGGAACTTAGTTGCCCAACTGCAACCTGGAGGTCGGGCTATTCGAGTTGCTCCTTGGGTGCTGTTGGCACGCTCCCAAGCGTCCTTTGCGGAGCTCGTAGAGGGTCCCAGATATCTTTGAGGGGAAGTGGTAAAGGAATGTCTCATGTGAGCGTGGGAAGTGGGCAAGGGAAACAAAAACATAACACCCCTGATGAATGGTTTGGATGTCTTGGTCCAAAGTGCCATTGAAGGCCTATGCGTTTCTTGCATTGCATTTCATCTATGGAAGTACGCCTGGTGTATGAGGGTCGTGAGGTGTTTCTTGAACATGGGTTCGGGTCAACGTATTTGGTTGCAGTTGCTGCACCTATTGAATTGGTTATGCGGTCTAGTCGCATCCAAATGACATTTGCTCCGAAATCAGAGCCTATTCGAGCCCTGGGCTTGATCCTGGGCAGACTCGTGTGTGTGGGCAAACACGCTGTAAGCAGTCCCCCTTCACTCAGCAAAAGCTTGGTCGCCGAGGAAGTTCCAGCCATTCACGACCACACCCTTCTTCTGGTCAGGCCGCACTGATTCTCACTAGCTGACTCAGCCTGAATTCACTCCTGAGCAGTTTTCGGGATGAGTGATTTGGAGGTAGCGCGCATGAATTCAACAAGAGAGTATCCAAGTCACCAATTGTGTTTTCCCTTCTTCAAGCTGTTCTCAGCCTGGGCTGGCGCAGCCTTGCGTACTTGCTTGTGGGCAGCCCAGTGTGCGAAACTGGGCTTGTGAGATATTAACGTGCCTAATGTGTACACACACACACGTTTGTATATGCATATGTACATACATATGTGTAGATATGTAGGTGTATGCACAACAAGCTATAGCACATGTCATCCATATGTATTGGCTCATGTTTTTGGCGCTGCTCACATTCTCATTTGGTTCTTTGTGTTTTTTCTCGCTCATGGGCAGTTCGCCCAACACCTTCGCAGGCCTCTTCGGGAACGTGAACCTCCGCTTCGTGGGCCATGCGCCGGAGGCGCTGGACCGAGTCATCATCGAAGGCGGGGAAGCGAAGCAGAAGGCTTGGGGGGACCAAATGCGAACCTCAAAACTCCTATATTCATAGGGGGATTCAAACGGCTGGTGTCAGGGTGACATGTCTTGATCCACCCAGCTTGCTTAGTTTGGCCTTTGCAAAGCAAGACCTCTCTCAAAAACCAAAAGCCAAAGAGGGCGACGTTGCAGTAGAGCGAAGGTTGGTTGAGGGTGGATGTGTTGAGGCTGTTCCTTCTGATGTAGCTCAGTGGCAATTTGCAGGCTTTTGAATGCCCAAGGCATGATGTCCCCAAATTCGGGTTGAGTCTGTTTGGCTTGAGGTAGTCAGCAAACGGACCCCCTTGTTTTACTTTCGTCGCTGCGTCAGGCGACGTCAGCACCATGGAGTTTGTCTCGTACTACACAGAGGACCCGGGCACGAGACGTCAACAGGTAAGACCAATGTCATTTGCGATGGTCGTTGCATGACTTGCACTTGTGCTTCTGGTCGCGGTGTGGCCTGCCCACACCGCGTCCCCAAAGCATCGCCAGGGGTTTTGGGCTTTGAAAGCTTCGGCCCGTGGCGTTTTCATCTGGACAGGCCCAGTCTCCGGGTGAAGGCCTCCAGGAGCCTCAAGACAATGACAAGCGATTGATGGCGTATGCCAAGGAGGCCGTATGACAAGACGCCTACTCTCGCGCCAAACCAATCCTTACTTCCACAATCCCACACAAGCTTCCGAACCAGCCCCTGCCAGGCCAAGACCAACCATGGAACAAGCCTGAACCAATCCTGAATCAGGCCTATACCAACCGCAAGCCAACCCTAACTGACCACGGGGGTGGGCTGCCAAGACTGGATCGTTCGCAAGCCGGTCTGAGATTCCCCTCTGGACTCCCCAAAGGATCTTTGCCACTTTGAAACCATGCGAAGCCATTGTTCATTTCCAGGAGAATCACATTCCATGGTCGCTTAGGTGGCCTAGGATTTCGTCCATCCACAGCAGAGCAAAACTAAGTTCTAGTTGTGAGCAAGCATTGCACATGAGGCTGCTCTCTCCAAATGTTGGGTCCATGGAGGGTCAGAGTGAGACCGCCCGAAACTCAAACTGCTTTCTGACGACAGCTCAGCCCAACAGTCCAAGGAACGCGACCTGTGACAAGCAGAAAAGCAGGGTCAACCTGAGGATGACGAGGTCCGGGCGGTGGCCACGGTGAATCGGGACCCTGTGGCCGTGGTTGTGGCGGAGCTCATGCGGAGGGGCCAGATGCCCAGCGTGTCCGAGCTGATGCTGGGCACCTTGGCAGGGACAGGGCCTGGCTTCTGGGGAGGTCCCAACCGGCGCTTATCCTGGCCTACTTGCTGTTTGCCTGTGTCTGGCTTTTTCGTAGGGCTGGCGCTGAAGCCAAGACTGGTCCAAATGAGTCTGGTGATGCTGGTGATGCCGCCTCTTCATTTAGGTGCGCGCCAAGCCCTTCGAAAGAACACAGCTTCTACCCTTGTTTTGGCTGCCCATGAGTTTTTTTTTTTTTAATTAACGGAAGTCACCGGAGATCGAAAATGCGTAATTTTTGCCATGTTGTGGATCGGTTTGACGCTGCGCTTTTTCTATTAGTGAGGCATTCTATTCCTCACGAAAAGGCAGAATTTAGCCAAGCCACAATGGCCTGTCTATCCTTGACGATAGGACCATGTTCTGTGGGGTGCTGGAGTGCCAGCAGTGGTTGAAGTTGGCTTTGTCCACAGCCAGCCTCGACTTGATTGTGGCTGGCGACGAGCCAAGCATTTCATGGAGTGGTGGGGCGGCTGGGGGCGCCAGGCTTCTAATCCAACCCGCACAGAAAACAAGTTTGAGGCTGCACGCTTTTGACGGCTGCTTGTCAGTTTTTGCAGTGCGAGCGTCCTGCCACCTGTTCAAAACTTGCATGTGGTTTCTTTGAGTCTCCCAGAACAAGCTCGCTGATTGAGAAAGTCATAGGAAGATCGCATCATTGTGCCAGTCGGATTGCATTGCTCCGTTCATTCTTGCACACAAGCTTGCCATCAACACTTTGGGAATTGTTTACACGTCTTAGGTTTGGGGTCATTGACATTTTTCAAGTCATCGGGGCAGCCGCCAGCGCTGACGCGCCTGATTTGGCAGTTTTGACATCTCAGGCACAGTCAACGCAGAAGTCCTCTCGCGCCGCCTCAGAGACCTCAGCAAGCCTAAGAAGGCTTAACGATGTGCGCGCGCGCCAAAAGAACGGGTGGGCGATGTGTTGGGAGAGCAGCTTCCGTGTTGCGAGGAAAAGTCAGTGCGCACTTTTCTGGCAGAAGTTCCCTGTAAGTACCTGGATTGGAAACCATGAACAAGATGAAACGTGCCACGTTGCCCCAACTCGTACTGAGGTGTCGACGCCGGCGCAAGGCAGTGACCTGGGGCGTGGCGGAGGTTTGCGAGTACGAGCCGCGGCGCCCCGACCGGGCGTGTTGGTCGCACGCGTGGCACATGTCACTTGTCCATGGGAATGGGTTTGAGGTTGATTTTGCTTGCTTCCAACCATGCCCGACGAGGATGCAAACGACAGGGTCTGGGAAGAGCGGGAGAAGGGACAAATCAGCTTCCTAGCTGGCGCGCAGAATCTTCGCAAGTCCTTCCTTGTCTCTCTGAAGGTCTTGCTTTCAGCGTTCAACACTGCGTTGTCGCCCCCTAGCAGCATACGGAGTATATCTTCCTAAATCGCCAACACAAGGACCCACAACAAAGGATTAAGCGGTGGAGTCCAGAACAAACCCAGGGATTCAACTTCAGCAACATGGTGGCTTCGGAAAGAACAAGGGGTGAAGCGAATGCGCAACCAATCTGTAGAACGACTACGGGCCACTTGTCATTTGATGAAGCGGTGCCTCGTGGGAGAGCTTGGTCGCAGCCCGGCTAACACAGTCATGTGTGGGGAAAGGCAAGGAAAACCGCACATCCTGAACAATAGAACAAGACTCGGCAGGTCTTTGTCTGGGAAAGGAGGCTCTTCCTGCTGCCTTGCGAGCTCAGGCGTCGCCACGTGCGCAAGCTGACCTTCACCAGGTCTCCGCGGCACAAGCAGCTGCAGGCCCACCGAAACCGCTACAGGCCATTCCCTGAACTAGCTGGGGTTATAGCAGGGTGGCAGCAGCGGCTTATCCATGGTTTCTCCCTTTGAGGGGGGCAGGGTTATGTGCGATAGGTAGCTAAATACAGGTTGAAAGCAAGGCCTATATTCTCATAGGACAACCTTCGTGCAGCAGTCGCTGGTTTTGAAGCGTACGGGGTCAAATAAACGCTCAGCTGGGATGTGTATGGAGTATTGCCTCAAGTTTCGTGGTGAAGAGCGGCGCAGGGAGTAAGTGCCCGATGTGCAGGCTGGGGTTTTGACGTTTCCCTCTGGCGCAATAGCAGGTTGACCCTCAGAATTTCCAGCGGGAGAGCCAACGCAACTCTAGGGCCCGCGTTTCACATGTTGGTTTGAGGCGCCCTCAGACCACCAAAGCTTGGGGTTGATGCATTTGGCGCGCCAGGTGTGATGACTGCAACCCTTCAGACGTGCGGAGGCTTGAATCAAAGCCAAGGGCATGGTAGACGCCCCCCAGCAGCGAGGAATGGGTCTGAAATGTTTCCAAATGAAAGTTCTTGGTCAAATCGGGGTTATGGGAACTATGAGTGTGTTGAGAAAGCGGCGCCTTTTTTCTTTCTCAATTCCCTTCCAGGTTCAACATCTGGAATCGCATGAGCAACTTACAAGCACACCTATTAGTTTTCACTACCCAATTTTGACCTCAGAATGCCAGAAGCCCAACATTTGGATGTTCATTCGCGGAAAAGTGGTTTGGCCCCCGTGGCTTTTTCCTCATTGATGAGCGGGACGTTTCTGGCACAGGACGAGTGCAGCACGAAGCCTTGATTCGATTCAAGCTGGCGACGCCTGGCTGCAAGGAGTTGTAAGCGTTGCTGCGTTGCTGGGTCAACGCTTGGTGACATTGGACAGTTCCCCCTCTACGCAACATGAGGGCATTCCTTGAAGGTTGTGCCTGAGTTTAGGTTAGGCTTCGCACGGGAAGCTGGCGTCTACGCATAACGCTAGCATTGGGCAGCAGCTTGCATGGTGCGACACGACGCAGTGACCAGCTTGTTTGGGGGGAACTGATGAGCACTTCACGCTCTGCTTGCTGGAAGCGCCACAAAGGAAGAAGGGGCTGTCAGCATTCTGGCGATGTAAGTGCGACTTCAACTGCAATGTCTCTCATTGTCATTTCCCAAATGCAGAACACGAGGACCCCAAAATATCCTTGGCATCAATAGGTGAAGCTTCATACAAGCCAACAAAGTAAGAGCTGGTCTAGGAAGCGAGAATTGATCCAATGTCTTGCAGCCATTTCAGCGACTGCAACATTACTGCCGCTACTTCTACTGCTACGACTACTGCTACTGCTACTGCTACTGCTACGTACTGCTACGACTACTGCTACTGCTACTGTGACTGCGGCTGCTACTGCGACTGCCACTGCTACTATTACTACCGCTACTGCTACTGCTTCCCTACCACCACCACCACCACCACCACCACCACCACCACCACCACTACTACTACTACTACTACTGCTTCTGCTACTACTAGTACTACTACTACTACTACTACTACTACTACTACTACTACTACTACTAGGGGACTACTTCTACTACTACGATTACTGCGACTACTACTACGACGACCACTACTACTACGACTACTACGACGACTTCTGCGACTACTACTATGACTACAACTACAACTACGACACTGCTACTACAACAGCTACGACGACTACTACAACTATTGCGAATATTAGTAGTACTACTACCACCACGTGTTGAATTGGTTTTGATCCTGAATCATTATTTTTTTGATCCCTCACCCGCGCGATGTGGCCCGAGGTGCCGCCCAGCCTGCATGACCGGAATGGCCGATCGCTTGGCTTCGCTTCGAAGCCGAAGCTCTGCCTCGGGCGAAAGCCGCGCCACGGAAATTCCATTGATCTTTCGGCAGCTCCGGCCCGGTTTCGCCTCAAGGCGGGCTGGCCAGGTGGATCAAACCATGACACCTCTTGAAAACGTTGATTTTGTTTGTAGTCCTCCCGGAGTCAACGCTTCTGATTTCTGTGGTGCGGGCTAGGCTTGCAAACCTGCTTTTCAATCGCCGGGCTGGATGGTTTACTCGATGTTCAAGAGCGAGCTTGCCACATTCGAACCAGTGGAAAAATGGGAGCCTAAGGGAAGGTGGAACATAAGGGTTTCTTAGGGACCCAGGTTCAGGGAGTCTTTGGGAGCCTTAGGGAAAGACCAGCTTATTCCCCCTTACCCTTAGATGCTACCCCAAAGCAAGTGAGATGCTTCATGAAACTTTTGAGGAGCTTCGTGCACAAATAAGCAGTGTCCTATTCCGAGCAAATTGAACAAACAAGATCGAACAAAGCCATCCAACCTGGGCAAATTGGGAAGCCCGAGGCCGAAGGGCCTTGAGCTATGTGGAAGTGAGGGCTGCCGAGCTCAGGGTTCCTATGAGCAAACTTGACCTGGCCATTTTGCACCGGTCGCCAGCATTCAGTTGTAAGATGACGCCCGGTAGGCGTTATTGTGTGTTTGGCTCCGACCCTCTCCACACTCCGTGGTGCAAACCGCGCGTTCCGAATACAGGGCAACCCGCTGAAGCCGGGCCAGTCCTGCCTTTAACAGGCACGCGGCTGGGGTATCGGGCCCAAAGCCTCAGGATTCCGATTCAGAGACAGCCAGCATACCCCAGGCCGTTCGGGTCTTCAACGTTTGCATCCTGAGCCGCGTGTCCCTTCACATAGGGGCCCCCTTTCGAGCCAAGCGAAGCCAGTGCCCCAACAGGCCACGCAGGCGGCCCTCGTCACACAACGCCCGTTTCCCACCCTGGGACCGGTGGTGTGATCGCACGGCGTAGCTGTGCAAAGATGTGCACCCGCCACCCGCGTTTCCGACAAGGTTCTCGCGCACGGGAAGTGTGAAGCCAAAGAGGCATAATTATTTGTCCGTCCTTTTAGACCCGTGCTTCCTCAAAAGGAAGCCCAACAAAAACACATTTTGCGCGTTCGAAATCCTATTTGAGACGGAGACTTTGGAGGTTGCGCCAGGAGACTTGGAGGACACGCGGCCGCGGCCTTTTCGCTTGGGAGAAGCGCGTGCTTTTGTGAGACAAGGAATTGAGATCTTTGGACTTCTCACGTTTGACATTGCGGCATTCGGGTTTGCCTCCAACTAAGGAGGCTGTTGAAAAAACTCACTTCAAAGCAACCTCAAGAAAGATAGCCTCAAGACTCAAGACCTGTTCTGATTTTCTACCGATGCGGCTGGCAAAGAAATCTTGCAGCCGGTGCTTGACTCTTTTCCATTGTAAGGCTTCTCTTGAAGGGAGCTGTGTTTTTTAAGGGAGGTGCGAATGGCTCACATTGGCAAGCGCTTCTTCAAGGGGGTTCATGTGTGACTGCGGCATCGGGGCAAGTGAGGTGCAGGGTATGCCGGTATGCCGCCTTCTTTCTGGCCTTGCCAGAGCATCCAGGGCCAAGCAGCAAGGATAGACAAGTGGCATGCAGCGTTTTCGGTCACAGCAAGCCGACATCAAGAGCACGTCGGTTGGCGACTCTGGTTCACACCTTACACCCCACTTGCTCCCTGGCCTGGAGTGGAGCTTCGAAGGAACGGCTGGCCTCGAGTCTCTTCGGGCCGTCGTGGAGTCTTGCAGTGGCTCGTGCGCGTTTTGAGTGACACGCTGCCTGGGATGGTTTCGGGGTGGGCAAAGGGCTGCGGGCCAGGCTGATTTCACGTCAGCCCCTCGCAGTTTCCGTTATCTGGAAGTTACAGACCATGTGGAAGGAAATGCGAGCATATTTTCAGGAAGTGAGTGCCTAGAAGATGGACCAAGCAAGGGGTGCCTGTTCCGATGTTGAGCTCCGGTCGATTGGGCTAGATTTGCTCAGCCTCAGCCAGTGAAGGCTGCGTGTGCGCTTGCATGTTTTAGAGCCATTCTTTGCAAAAGCTAGTGCCGCATGCCACGCGGTGAGTCGCGAGTTGCGATTTGTGAGTCGCAAGTCGCGGCGAGGCAGCAAGCCGCCTGTGCGAGCATGTCATAGGTCCTTGCAACTAGTCCCCCCCCGCTTGGACGAGGGGTAGCCACTCTGACAGATGTACATTCCTTGTGCCTGTGCATGGATGAGGGGGCGGATTGTCCTGGCACTGTGAATGGGCACATCTACTCGGTACAGGGGTGCTAACTCACGAATGGGTGTCTCTTTCCAAATACGGCTGGGGGGGAACAGGTCCCTGCTGGAAACAATTGATAGTCAGGTAGAGGCAAGTCATGGTCAATAGTCGTGTTGCGAACTGGCGTGGAATTGCGGTACGAAATCCGATGTACATGTGGTAGTTCGACTTGGTGAGTGAATCCCATGGCGTCCATCATGAACAGGTTGTTGCATTGCGATAGATCCCCCCAACGCACCAATCAACCAACACACACACACACACACCCACCCACCCAGCCTGCTGCACGTTGTTGCCCATAGTTGGTGAAACTGACCAGTGCGCCATGACAGCAGAGCGGGGTAGAGGGTTCCACCAGAAGACTCTAAGGTGCTTGCCAGTTGGGGGGCGACAGCTGCGAAAGACCCGAGCGCGGGCTTGCCGAAAGCACGGTTGTGTGGACCTTGCATGACCGAGGCTCTGGGAGAAACCTTGGAATTTGGTGCGCTAGCTGGGTAGCCCCATGTCCTCGGACTGGCTCAGCTGGAAATCTAGTTCGTGTCAACAGTGCTCGACGCTCGTGTGGGATATCGGCCGTTGTGCTGGGCAATCATGGGCCGCAGCTTATTGGCCCAGACGTGCCCAACCCGGTCGTTAGACGTTTTAGTTGGCCAGTACGGCCCTGGCAGAAGACGGCCCCTGACTGACAGCCATTGGCAGAAAGAGGCTATCGGCTATCGCCATCCACTGGGATCAGACACATGACTCCCGTCTCCAACGATTCAAGCCCTTTTCGCCTGAGCAAGTGGGCTTTCCGCAGGGTCTATGACCAAGCCCTTCAGAGCTCCAAGATGTGTGAATCTAGGGGCCCCAAAAACATGGTGGTTTTCTTTGATTTCCCTGCAGCGAAAAAATATCCCGCATTGGTTTTTGCTCGGAGGGCGTGGAATCGCCGCGCGGCCCATGCATCCGTATCGCCAGCTGCCACGCGGAGATGACGAGGCTGGCTTTGAGGCCGGGTGGGTGGGCACGGGAACTTGGGACTCCTTAAAACACAAAAGGAAATGGACCTGGCCATCAAAATGGAAACTCAGCCCTGGTCACCTTTGTTCACGGTCTAGTTCGCTCTTTCTGGTTTCGAGCCCTTGGTTCAAGTGGATAAGTGCATATATCTAAAAAAGTAAGTACATGGATGTTTAGAAAGCAAAGGCTAATCAAGCATTGGCTAAATCTGCAGTCTTTGCATTAAACCATTTGTCTTTATATATCTTTGCATGCTTTTTATGGAGTAGTACTTGTGCTGAAGGGATCTGAAATCATAGACTTAGTGCGCTCAAGGTTGGTGGCTGGTTGGTTGCCAGTGCTTGGTTGTTTTGGGTTGGGGGGGGACGCCCACTCCCCGCCCAAAGAACGACAACCAACCACAGGCAGCCAGCCGGCCAAGCTTAAACCTTGTTGCTCCCAGAATTTCTTAAAGAGCCGCAGTCTGTCCCAATGTGTTTGGAATGCTGCTGCACTGGACTGACGTGCATAGCTTCTTTGATGCAATGTCCAAAGCCTCATCAAATACCTTCAACATATCGTGCTTTGCGGGTTGAATGCCATGCTGGACTGCATCAGATCTGGCTGAGGGTCTCGCCACATGTTTGATTTGTTTGTGCATGAGTCCCATCCGAAAAAATGGTTTGGATGCATAATCTCTTTGGATGATGTTATGATGTTGTTGCCTGAGACAGGTTCTGTAAGCTGGTATCACTTGCTTGTGCTAAAGTTATCACTCTGGTTTGGGTTTCACTGCAATTTGTGCTAGCACTTTATCAATACTCCGGCTTGGACGCTTTGTCATTGTCGGCAAAGCACGGAGTTCTAGGACATAGAGACTGTATATTACAATCTGGCTTCTGGGATCTGTTCTGAACACTTTCTGGATGAGGAAGCGTATTTGGTTGCTCTTGGCTAGCTTTGCTTGCCGGTTTGTTTTCAGTGCTTCGTCAACTGCACCCGCCATTGCCTTGTGCACTGCGCCTGTCATTTCCACCTGGTGAGTTGGGTGCTTCATGCCAAAGTCCTGGGCAGGGTGTTGGACCAACCTATTTGCCCGGGCATCAGTGCCGCAGGGGAAAGTCGGAATCCTTGCAGCTGGTTGGACGGTTAATTCAGTTCCCCACCATGATGCCGTGGCGACTTGCCGCCGGCCTTTGGGCTCCAAGCTGGCCAGATTTTGGATCCGATCCCAAGGCGGGCGCGAGTGGGTCGTGTCGTCCGGCCGCTTTGAAGCGCCACGCGTTTAAGTTGAGCATGAAGGCAGGGCCAACAGGAGGTTCCGCATTGCTTCTTTGTTGTGAGGGTTGGTGTCAAAAAGTGCGGGAGCCACTTTTTCCTTCTTTTTGGGATTGGGGTGCTCGTGAACTTTTCCTTTGCTCGGGTCATGGAGCCGTTCCGGGCCGGGCTAGGGTTCCAGTTGGGTTGGGACAGGGCTTTGGCCCACAGTCAGCCGCCGGGCCTTGGGCAGGATGCCCTGCCTCATGGACTTCTACGACTGCCTGCGGGCGTGGGCCAACCCCAAGTCCATCGGCTACCCCCCGTGGAAGAAGGGCAAGCTGGACTGCCACGAGCGGCACGGCTTTCTGACCCCTTCTGGACAATACCCCCTTTTTCAGGCGAGCAACGCTGGAGTTTGTCTTTGTAGTTGGTGTGTGTGTGTGTGGGCCCGGTGCGCTCAACAAAGGATTTTGAACGGGGTACATATCTCATTTGGTGGAGGGCCCCCCGCCTCCCCTTGTCCCTTGTTTTTGACAGCAACCGTGATCGAGGGGGATGTTTGGGGACGGTGTCTTTGTGGGATCTTTTCATTGGGGTCGTCGCTTTTTGGCCAAAGGGTGCAAGTTCAAGCTAGTTGGGTGTCGGATGTCAGCTCCTGTGATGAGACCAATGCATATCCACATTTCCGGCTGTTTGCAAGTGTTGACGGCACTTTGACAAAGGAGTTGGCATTGAAGTCCAGAAAGCTTGTCCTTACATGGGCAGCCGTCTGAGCAGACCAATAACATCCTCTCATACTTGCGGCCACTGCAGATCCCGCCAGTCCAGTCAGGTATTACTACGAAGAGTTTCTGACCAAGCCCATGCACGTCCAGCAGAAGGGCGGTCACTGACCGAGGGGAGGTGGGGCCTTCAGGGTGTCCTGCAACATTTGCGCTGGGGTGATTTTGTGTTTGTTGCCCCGCATCCGCTCTTGGCCCCTGTGCTGGTGGACACAGTGGAGGCGTTAGTGGGACAGATTTCCTACCGCCCCAACAATTTTCCTTCTGATTGTCCTTCAAAACGAGGCCCATAAAGGGAAAAGCGTACCCTTAAACAGACATCCACAGTTTGTGGCCCAGCATTGCTCAGGCTGGCCGCCGCCAAACCATGGATTTTCCGGCAGAAAAAGAGTGCTTGACCCCCTCCCTACCTGAGGAGAGGCGGTTCCAATGCCCGCGAACCAGGTTTGCTTGGAAGCTCTCGGGCCGCACCTGCTTTCTGGCCGGGACATGACGCACTTACCTGGCTCAAGCCAGTCGCACCAAAGCAGTGCCCCCCCCAATAAAATTGGACAGCTAAAGGCATCAGCGTGGCCTTTGCGTCAGTATGACACGCGCACATCGAGAAGTGTGGCAAGTTGTTTGGCGCGGGGGGATTTTCACACCATTCCTTGGATTCTTTTCGGCGACCATTCGATAAGTGTGAAGCTTCGCAAAGACCATGCAACATGTTGTTTACACGCCCTACCTGCTAAGTCCTCGAATGGACGCGGGCCCCAGAAAGTATACTGTTAAATGTTTTTCCGGAATGGACCTATGCCACAAAGAGCAGACATAGTTTGATTCACAATCGTTACATGGGCCTATGCCCCACTCAACATCTAGTTGGAAGAGACGAAATGCGGCGGGCTTTGGCCAGTGCCAGCTGACTCTGCTCAAGGGCAGGCGGGGCCGAGTGCCGCCGCATCACCAGCATCATTTGAGCAAGTCCGGAGCTGATCTGTTGAGTTCCTTGTTTTATGGCCCCTCCTTGAGTGAAGTTTTACTTTGACGTGAGCTGTCAGCAGCCCTGTCTAGGCCATGGGCAGAGACATGGATTCAGGCAGGGCGGGCGCAAGGGCCTGCAACGGCTGGCACCCTTCATCCCGCTCGCCCTGAAAGTGCTTGGTGGCCTTCCAAGAAAAGAGGCTTTCCTGGAAATTGTGGGGTCGCCTTTCAGGTGAGAGCTACCTGCTGCCGGCCTCCACACTAACACCCGCCAGGCCACTGCGCGGCGCGTTGTCGCGGCGGGCCAGGGCCCCAGGTGCTGCTTTGACAGAAAAACCAAATTACTCTGGACGGCTTTTGCAAACAGGTCCTGCTTGCTTCTTCAGTGGGTTGCATGTTGTGCCGCCGGTTCAGCTCGGGTTGTAACATCTTGAACCTTTCTTCATCCAAGATGTTCTTCTGATTCTTGCCCATCAAGCCATGTAAATACCTCTGCAGAGCCTGCCATTGCCCCTCCCTCCCTCCCCTCCCCTCCCCTCCCCTCCCCTCCCCTCCCCTCCCCTCCTCCTCCCCTCCCCCTCCCCCTCCCCCTCCCTCCTCCTCCTCCCCCTCCCCTCCCCTCCCCTCCCCCCTCCCTCCCTCCCCATCCAGCCGGCGTGGCCGGCCCAGTTGGAGGGCTTCAGAGGCACAGGCTGGGCTTCTATTGGGAGTGAAGTGGGGATGGATTTCTGGTGGTGAAGCAGGCCTCGCAAGGGTTCCCATCGCCACTTTGTAACTACCAAGTCTTTTAAAAGAGGAATGAATTAACAAGTAATCATGTTTTTATTATTTGAAGTTGTTTAAAATACTTTTCTCAATTTTCCATTAAGTAATATTTTTTTAATCAGGATCTTATTTGAAGTAAATGAAGAATTGCTAGTTGCCTATCTGAAGCAAGCTTGCCGCCTGTAGTTGATACCCGGGACTGGATAAGATGCTCATGTGACTCATGTGCCTCATGGGTTTGGGATGGTTTGGGCGCATGGGTGCCCCCGAGGCCGTAGGCATGCTGGGTTTGGCAGCTTGTTTTGGCACACACACACACACACACTTCAGCATGTCCAGATGTGACCCATGCCACGTTGAGTGCCGCCCGCCCGCATGCCCGAGCCAGGCACGCCCCCGCGCCTACTGAAGGCCCGGAACAAGCGAGCGGGAGAATGGAAGGCGTTGCTGCTTTGGCCTTTCTGCCGGCACGGTCATTCGTGCGTCTTTTGCTGTTTCTTGCAAAGTGGGTGTGGGTGAAAATCAAACCACCGGGGACCCCAGATGTTCATCCTGCGTTCCATTGTGCAGTGCAACCCATTTTGGGGTACCCAATTGGTGACCCACAGCCGAGTGATTTTCTGCCGCGCGGGGCTTGCGGCTTCCAAAAGCGACCGCGCCGCACCGAGCTGGGCGCAGGAGGCCTCGCCGGACGCGGGCTCCACCTCCGGGCGCGCCAGCGAGGCGACGGTGGTGCCCCTGGAGCCCAGCGCCTCGGTGGAGAACGGGTCCGGGGGGGGGGGGTTCGGTGGAGCATGGATGGGGCCACAGGGCTCAAAAAACCGGTACCAAAATGGGACCCCGGTAAATGGAAGCATGGACCAAAGCTTGCGTAACTCCTCCTGTTAAATTTTGAGCCACACCCATTTTTGCAATGAGAGAGAGGGGAGAGAGAGAGAGAGAGAGGGAAAGCTGCTTTTTGGAGTTCGGTGGAATCGTCTGAAAGGAAGGCGGCAAACAGCCGTCTTTGTTCTCCCATGGCTTTGAGGAATGGTGGGTGTTCATGGGGCAGGCACAATCCCATTCTTGTTTTCTCATGTAGTGAAACAGTTTTTGGGGTAGGGTGCCCCCACTCATCAAGAGGGAATTAAACTCTCGCTTCCTATCACGGCGACGAGACACCTGTCCCTCGGAAAGTTGCGGGCGGCTGAAAAGTTGTCGGTGGCCGGGTGCCAAGGTTTCGCTTCCGACGGGGAGACTAAGGCGGGCAGCGAGCGGTCGTGCTGACGCTGAGGATGTAAGGAATGTAAGGAGTGGTTTGCTTGGCAGTTCTGAAGAGTCGACAGGCTTGAGGAGGAATTGGCCTAAAGAACGTCTGAAGCTGGAAACGCCGTGCCCAGGTGGAGTGGCTGCGCCAAGAGCTCGAACGATGCCAGGCGGAGTCAGAAGACAACTGCTTATGTTTCTTGAGAACTCTCTTGGAGTCACCGCCAGCGCCCTAAGCATTGGACGGAAGGTCTTGGAATACCTTACTCTTTGCAAGGTCCTGGAAAGCCTTGGAAATGGTTGGTTGGTTGGTGTTATTTCAGGCGGAGCGGACCTTTGCGGAGGAGTCTCAGCGGGAGCTTGAAGCGAGGGTGGAGTGCCTGGTGCCCAGAGGGGCCTGCCGGTGTGTGTGGGTGTGTTGCCTGAAGTTTCGCTCAAGTAGGCCGTGAAGGGCAAGGAGAAACCCGTTGGCCACCTCACCCAAAACCTGGCGGGTAATCCAAGAAGTGTTCATCCAAGTAGAGTGATGGTTCCTCTTCAAAGAGCGAAAGATGTCTGAAGTGTTCACGCGGAGAGGTGGCCTTCAAATCCCAGATTGATATGCTTCATCCTTCTGCCCAACATGTTTTGACACATGGTCAATCTGGCGCGAGACAAGCGTCTCACGAAGCCCCATGCTTGCGAGCATCAGTTTCAAGCACGTTTTGGCGACGAGGCCAGCGTCAAGCCTTCGAAGCAGAGAGGCCGAGCTTGGGTTTGGTGCGAGCAACGGTTCACCCAGATCCGACCAGGAAGACAACCTCCGAGTAGCCTCAATTCTCATCCGGTTGGCTGGCTTCTACGTGCTTGCCCTTAAGATGCATACGCAAATGAGACCTGCACCTTTTTCCTTAGCACTGGGACGGCGTGCAGTCCAGGCATATGATGCACACTTTCAGAATTGCTCGCCTCTTCCTCCTCACCTGGGATCTGACATCAGCGCTACTGTAAGGCTTTGCGAAGCCCAACGGGCGTAGAAGACTGAAGGTTTCACAGCCATGGGCGATTTGCAGTTTGTGTTTCGCCCTTTTATTTTTTTTGGCCGGGGGGGGGGGGGGGCAGAACGTTGTAGCACATGCCTCCAGGGCTTGAACCCCCATAGGCGTCTCTAGAAATCCAACCAGTGGTGATGGACACCCGAATGTTCGATTATGCTTGTTTTGGACGCTCCCCAACAGGCGCAGGCCCTGTGTAGGCCCCGGTGGTGCCACGGTTCATTGGAGGAGGTCAAAGGCTGGCCATGAAAGGTTCTTAGAAGCTAGGGTTGGGAGGAAACCAACAGCTTTCAGTGGCCTGGGGTTTGATCAGGCAGCAGATGTTGCGCCGAATGGCGCACTTGGAGTCGGAGCGCCGCCGGGACCCTCGGAGGATGCGAGCTGTGCAGCATGTCCTGATTAACGTGACTCAACCAATCTGGCTGTGGGTCAAAACCAATGGTACCATTTTGGGGTAGGTGCACCACTCATTTTAGTCTATTTTAGTGGGGATTGGGATGTTCACTGGGGGTACGGGCTTTTGACCCCTGACCATATAGAGCACACATGAGCAAACATATGTGTGGACAATTTGGAAACACACGCATGAAGATACGTGTTTGTATGCAGATCTGTATTGTTGAACATGTATGTGCGTTTTCTTGGTGCATGTGTCACTGCAGGGCCCACTCTAATGAAGTTTAGCTACCCGGGATGAGCTCTGAACTCCAAGCCCGCAGAATCCATGTACTAGGTATGTGGTCGAAATGGCTTCGGGGACGGCGCGGGATAGCGCAAGAGAGAAAGAGAGAGAGAGAGAGGTAAGCACAAGAGCCAGATTATGCGGACCCACACTTAGATGGAACAATTTCACTGGGCAGAATGTCAAAGAGTCAAGGTTTTTTCTTGGGCCCACCTGTGAACCAAACAGCGGGCACAGGATTCTAGCTGCGACGCGCTACCGCTCTGCAGCATGAGCCTTTGCCGGAAAATCAGGGCGTGGTTTCGTTGACGGTCTCTTTTCGCCGCAGCTGCTCCCTGTTGCCGGGTCACCAAAAGGTGTGCAGCATTTAGTTTTCTCCCGTAGCTTGCTGTGGGTGTGCCCTCTCCATGCCTACTCCCAGCGGCAGCTCGGACCGGCTGGGCGAGCAGCAGGCGGAGTGTGGACATCGTGCATGCGCGTTTGGAACCTGTACTTGTTTCATATCATCCTTTGGCTGAACCCCGGAGAGGGGGACCAGGGATCTGAGATAGACTGCATGGCTGCGTGGGGTCCGAGGGTGGAAGAGCGTGGAGAGTGCTGCGGGCTTGGTGCATATGTTTCTGGTTTGAGTGAGTCAGCCCAAACTTCAATGCGTGACGACCAAACTCTTCTGGCCAGAATGACCCACGCATTGGCTTCAGAGTCATTGAGGCAAGCCAAGTTCGGCCACCACACCCGCGGCTGGCAGATTTCTTCCGGGGCTCGCTTAGCCGATCTAAATGCCTATGTTTGAGGCAGGGGTCCCCTACATTTCCCTTAGCCGGTCTCAATATCATCCAATGCATCGGCGTTTCATCTTGGTGGGTGTGTGGACGGAACTCTTCAGGTGGATGAGCTGAAGCAGCAACTGAGGCGGGAAGTGGAAAGCGAGCCAGCCCTTGTTTTCCCGGAAGTCAATATGTTCCCTTTCATAGAGGCTCCCCTGAGGGAAGCCACAGGTGACGGTACGTGTTCACCCACTCTGACCGTGCAAAGCTCGAATGCTTGTCAACCATGAACCTCCCAAAAAACTAAAACAGTGGTTTCCAATTTGGTTGAGGGTTGAAGCCAACCTGAAAAGGGTACCCCTAAAAAACACGCAGTTCAACAAGCCGACCTGGATTGGACCTGTGCCATCTACTTTCACCCATTTGTCACCCACATTTCTCTTTTTGGGAGGGGGGAACCTGCAGGCCCATCCGGTCGAAGCGACCTTTTTCACGACTCCGCAACAGGGGAGTCTCCGACGTCTCTGCGTCCGCGTCTCCATGCGCGTCTCCGCGTCTGAGTCGTCCCGAGGCAGCAGCTGAGGCGCGACCTGGAGGATCTGCGCCAGGAGCTGCGGCAAAGCTACGGGGCGAGCCTCGAGGTCTTGTCCAGCCGCGTGGCCAGCCTCGCGGCCCGGCTTCGGGGCCGGTTGCCTGGGGAGGTGTTTGAGCGACCGGCCGGACGGAAGTTGTGTGTAAACTACAGGTGCTTAAAAAGTGTAACGGGCATGGCCCAGTGGCCGGTGGTTTGGTTTCTGAGGTGTTTGTGGGTTCGCATTGTTTGCACTTTGTTTTTCTCCCCTTTGCTTTGTGGTACGACTTGCGTTTGGGCAAGTCGTGATGTCCTTGCCTTTCCGGACTTGGCGTTTTGTGGCATCCCTGCCCAAGGAGGCTCGGATGAAGACCCATCCCATGGTCGTGAAAGCCAGCACGGATGACATTGCTTCGACCTCTGAGAGCCCAGTGCTCAACGTCAACCGGGAAACAACATGGGACAGTGAGGGCCACTCTGTGAATGTGGGGGAGGCTCAGTCGGTCCCACATGAAGATGGCCGTCTCACACACGCAGACATCGCAATGCTGAATGAGGCGAATGAGGGGATTCAGAATCAGAACTGCATGGCGAACCTCACACAGGGAGTGACGGAGGAGGAATCAAAAGATCTCACAGCCTCCCAGGCGCTGCGTAAGGGGAGCTATGGTTCTGTCGCCATCAGCGAGAGTGTATGGAGTTTTCCACTTGTTTTCGGCCTTGCAAGAGCTGGGCGCTTTGATTCCGTCTATTCCGTGCTGCTGCTCCTCCTGAACTTGGGCATGCAGGCTATGTTCTCGGGCATCTTGATGTCCGAGGGCTTCATGGGGTCCGACTTCTCGCATGAGGCCAGGTGTGTTTCGGCACAGTTTTTTTCTTCCTGGAAACTCGCGCTGGACACGGTTTTGCCGCCTCATTTAAACTTCCAAGTTTCCCTTTGAGGTATGGCATGGGTGTGCTTCTCATGCCCTTCTATCCCAGCAGAGATTGCTCAGCATGGTGTTGAGGCTCTCACTGGATCCCCCCTCCTGCCAACACGGAACAACCCATCCTTTGGCGAAGGCCGACCCAAAAAACTTGCGCAACCACCCGAACCCACCTGACTTGGTCCATTGAGGTGGCTACATTCAGTTCTCCATGCGACAGGGTCTAGTCTGTTCGCCAGAGGGTCTTTTTCTTTGTTTGCAGTGCCGAAGCCAGGTCTCGCACGCGAAGCTTTGGCGGACCAGCGTGGCCCACGACATCAAGTATATGGACCTAGCGGCCACCAGCCTGGCGACCCGGGTCTGCAAGGATGCCAGAAGGGGGAAGGTGGTGGGGGGCATGGGGGGATGGGGATGCGGGCGAACTGAAGCACCAGAGAAGTATGCCATGTTTTTTTTCTTTAAAAAAGGGGACACCTTCATAAGGGCCCTGCCCACCAGAAATGGTTCAAAGTCCATTTGCCAGGACGATGGTGCGTTGATCTTGGCGCCTAAGCAAGCAACCCTGATCAGCAACATCAACAGCTTCATGGGCTTGAAAGTGGACCAGTTTACGCCGGGGCCGTTCCAGCTTCTTGGCCGATCAGCTTGCTGGTGCCCCCGGCTTCCGGCTTGTTTCCAGTTTGGAGATGGTACTAAGGCCTGGAACTCTGCTTTGCATACTTTGCATCCTCCTCTGGAGCCTGTGTGTTTACAAGGAGTTCCGCGCCCTCTCGCTGTCTGCAGAAGCGTTGCTGCAGCTGCCGCGGTCGCGCGGAACGGTGCTTCAGAGCAACATGCTCATGAGCTTGTCCAGAGGCCGCTTGGCAATTCTGCTGGGGGTGTCCATGATCCGTGCGGTGATCGCGGGCGTCCTGTTGGGCGCTGGAATTCTCTGGCTGGCCCGCACCACATCCATCACAGAGCTGATGCTCAATGCCGTGGCTTTGAATGCGATCCTCGACGTGGATGAGTTCCTCTTCGCCGGGTTCACGCCCATTTCCATGCAGCTGGCGGTCCGGAAGCTGCAGCCCGTGAGGATCAGGTACAGCGCCCGCCGCAGCCACGTGGAGTCCGTTACGCTCATGGTCCTCCTGGCGACCACCATGCTTGTCCCTTACTTCGTCCTACTGAAGCCACAGTCGGACACAATGTTGCAGGTGAAGTGGGAGCTCTGCGGTGGCAACCGCACCTTCGTGGTGTCCCGCAATGCGGAGACGCAGCTCATCTCTGGCTTGGTAACGGAGGACAGCCGAACTGTCGATGAGCTGTCGGTGAGTGAAATAGCGGTGGACACGCACAAGTTCCAATCGCCTTACGAGCCGGCTGTCTACATTTCCTTCGCAACAAGCCAGGCGCAGCTGAACCGAGATCGCATTGCATCTTTGGAGCAGGAGACGCAGAGTTTCACCTTTTGCGTTGAGACGGACTACTTGCATGAGAATGGAACGCTGCACCATGACACCAACCTGGAGCCCATTGTTTTGAGCCGATTGCGGGCTGCGGCTGCAGCACTGGGCCGGTTTGACGTGTCTGGGTGCGAGGATGTGGCTGACCTGTGCCTCCTGCCCTCTGCGCGCCTGCTGCGGATGATTTGTGGCGACACGTGTGGCTGCACCGACCCTTTGTCCTCTGGATGGCACCTTGCCCAAGGTTTAACCGTTTGCCAGGTTTACTTTGGCTGTAAGCCATGCCCAAGTACCCAAGAATGAAATGACGGGTGTAGACATTTAGTGCTGGCACCACCTGGGACGTATTTCACAAGGGCAGCCCCTTTAATTTTTGTTGTTTGTGATGGGGTATCTTGGTTGACCAGCCCCCCGCCAAGTGAAGCAGCTTGTCATGGAAGTTTCTTTTCGCATGGTTGTCGCTGGTCGGGTCAATTGAGCTAAGCAATTGCCTGTCAGACCTTCACCTGTGTAAAAGTTGGGATAGACAGTGCCGCAGGATCCAAGAAGTTCGGCATCTTCTATCTCAGGTCTTAATTGTTGAACTGGCAATGACATGGATGCGATGCCTTGCGCCTTGCTGGGGCCCCTCCGGTTGAATGTGCTACTTGGCGGTCCAAACCAGCAGAGCAACAGTTGTTTTTGTACGTCCAGGATGTGGCAAATTCTGACCGACAGTTTGACACCCAAGGTTGGTCTCCCAGGCCCGTTGAATCAAGGCTTGTTTGCTCCCGGGTAGGATCTTCAACCTCTCACTTTCAGGCCCCCCTGGGTCCGGGGGCGGTTTCGAATTGGGAATGGCGTGTGGACCAGGACCCCAGGGGGCGGCACTAAGGACCGGATTCTTTTTTGTTTGTTTTTTGTTCGTTCCTTTTTTCCGTTTCGGTCCGATGAGCACCTGGTTCATGATTCCCTTTTCGCCCTCGG